TTACCACTGGCTATCGTGCAGGTCACGGGTTCAACTCCAGGGAACTGTGCAGATACTGTACACAGGTAAGCTGAGGTCAAGGGATCGACCCCTGGGATCTGCATCGGCTACTGCCAAAGGTGAAAACTGTTTCAATAGTAAATAGTAAATAGTAAATAGTAATTCCCATCTTCTCTCATAATGTCTGTTCAGTCAATCCCCTGCAACTCAGGGTAATCAACGCTGGCAGGCCCATTCTCATACTCAGACAAATCTCAGAAACTGTTGTAAATGGGACGCTGGGCCCGTTTTCCAGCAGGTGACAGTCCCCACAAATAGATGTTTTAATTAAAAAAAAAAAAAAACTTGGGGTGCTAGTGGTGATTGTTCTTACGAACACCGCCTAGCACTTACAAGAGATGTTTCAATAAAAAAAAAAAAAAAACCTAAATACTAAATAGTAAAATAGTAAATCCCAAAAAAAAAAAAAAAGGATGAGAAACAGGTGGGAAACTGGGAGGAATGAGGAACAGATAAGGCAGAGGGAGGTGGTGTGTTCGGGTATGGCAGCGGAGGGATGGAGGGCTGATCCACCCTGAATTGCGATGAGGTGGGTGGGTTTTGCGGGGCCTGCGTCTGCATTTGGGGGCGTGTGGGTGCAGATTCTGCAGACCCTTACCGTGCCGGAGGCAGGGTGGGGCAGCAGGGCTGGGTGATTGAAAGGGTGAATGTCTTTGTGGAAATCTTGCCTGTTTTTTTTTGTAGTGGGTTGGCGTGGTGCGAGGCACAAGGCCTCGATAAGCCCTACCGGGCCCCTATCTGTAACAGGTCGGCCGCCCTAAGTGAAGGCAGGCTCGACAGACCACAAGAGGCCTATTTTGGACTACTTCGCAACTGGGGAAAATTCAGGCAGTTGTGCGGCGCCAGTTGGTTGAAGGCGCCCAGGCCCTGGCCTCCTTTATCAAATGTATCTAAGCCAGGCCCTGGGCGAGATACGCAGCTTAGACCCAACTCAGGCTGTAAGCAGTTGGGCACCGGTAACTGTCGGTGGCCCTGGGCCTGATTCCTTTGGACTGAGGCTCAGCCGCCCTGGGCCTACCGGAAGCTTCTGGGCAGGAACCCAGCGCAGCCAGGCTGCACGCGAGGCAGGCAGGTCACTTCCATTTAAGAAAGGGCCTGCCCATGCAATGGGCGTTCGGGCAATGGCTGCATGCTGTGCAAGCGCTGCTGCGCTAACGCTGGCCAGCGCTCACGCACTCACGGGTGAGCTGGAAGGAGCAGACAGCCATAGCCGAGCTGCGCTGCTGTATGCTGGATGGGGCGCATGGTGGTTCTTGGGTGCATGCGGCATCTGTGAGTTGGGGAACGAGGTTGTGAGTGATGCGAGAGACATACCTGGTGCTTGAAGCGTACGGCGTTGGCCGGGATCTGCTCGTACTTCGGGGAGCCGTTGACGTCATCAGCGGCATCGTAGAGTAGGCTAGATAGGATCTGCCATCTGTAATCTGGGCTCCGAGCGCCAGATAGGATATCAACATTGGTTCTTCGTTGATGATGATGAGACTATTCCAGCATTGTCAATTATGAGCTTTTGCTATGATCTTATTTGGTGAAACTCGTGATGCAATTCTGCTTTTGGTTAGAGGTCATGACTATCTGGTCTCATGTGTATGATGCTGTTTGATTTCTGAAGTTCGCTATTGCTCATCTTCCTTGCAGTGGTGAAATAGCAAGGGTTGGAGTGGTGAAATAGGGAGAGGCTTGGCCGGAGATTTGAGTGCGGAAGCTTGCCTCCCCTGCTCTGTCGTAGTCCAGTCTGGTGTGACGACTTTGACATGCCTTTTGTATTGCCTTGGGCACTGGGCCCGTCTATAATGTAATGCTTCAACGTTTAAGGCAAAAAAAAAAAAAAAAAAAGAAGGGGAGGAACCATGGTAACCGCCCGGACGTCCGGACCGGGTTCCAGACAGTCCTGTGTCCGGTGTCTGGTCCCCATGTCCGGATGGAGGCCCCTGGGGCAAAAAAAAACAAAAAAAAATTGGGCGGCCCAGGACGTTTGTCGGGTCCTAGACGCCCCTCGAAAAATAACGGGGTGATTTTTAAGTGTCCTTTCACCCCACCGGACATGGCCTAGAGGTCCAGACACAAGACACTGCAGGTTTTTGAGGTGGCAGGTTTCGCACAGGCCCGAGCAATTTCAAAGTGGCTGTTTCGACATGGTGCCCGCCGCTGCTGCCCGTTGGGGGGGAGGAGAGAGAGAGAGAGAGAGAGAGAGAGAGAGAGAGAGAGAGAGAGAGCACTGACAGTGTTGGCCGTCTGAAGACTCTGACGTTCTGAATTGAACTGCAAAGTTCGAACTTTTAAGTTATATATGACTATTATGAAGTTATGAACTTAAATTACGAAATCCAAAGTTCAAAGTTCAAAGTTCAAAGTTAATCATACTTTTTGAAGTTTAAAAAAAAAAAAATTCTCTGTTTCTTTAGTCTTGTGCCTGCTTTGCACTGTTTGCAACTCTGCATGTCTGCTAGCTAAATGTGCTGGTTGATTTGCTGCAAGACACGTGCTCTGCTGCCTGAACTACAGAGTGCAAAGCAGCTAAGTGCCTGCCAACACCCCCACCCGACCTCCCCCCACCCCTGGTTTTTTTTTTTT